CCCTCCTTTGATGTCATATGGCTGGTTGTCAAGGCGACAGCAGTACAGCTTGCCGATTGGCTGACGTGACGTTTGTGGAACAGGTGGCGCACCAAGCAGAACCTCGACTACTGTTTCCTCATGATGTACGCGCGCTCCAAAGGAACCTACTACGTGCAGGTATACACACACACACACACACACACACACACACACACACACACTCACCCACGGGTGCACGCTCACTTGCGTGTGTGTGTGTGGTGTGTGTGTGTGTGTGTGTGTGTGTGTGTGTGTGTGTGTGTGTGTGTGTGTGTGTGTGTTCGTGCGTGCGTGCGTGCGTGCATCAGCTGGAGGACGACATTGTAGCGCGGCCCACCTACTTGAGCACCATGAAGAACTTTGCCTTGCAGCAACCTTCCGAGGAATGGATGATCCTGGAATTCTCGCAGCTCGGCTTCATCGGTAAGTCTTGACCAAGAAATTGGCAGCAGTAATCATCAATCCACCACCTGCGTCAAAAATGAATGAAGCTCAACTGACGCGCAACCAGTTCAGGGTGTACCCTGCCGACGGCTAGAAGACTGCTGGGATAGGTTCCAGCACGCCCTCAATCCTCGTAAAGATAAGCGGCTCGGATAATGGATGGATGGATGTTGTTTATTTGGTACTGTTAATATGATAAAACAAACAACTTTACCACAATCAAGCAATATCACACAAGGGAGTGAAGCGGATTCAGTGCAATATCACACAAGGGAGTGAAGCGGATTCAGTAACTGGTTGGGGCTTTTTTTTTCCAAAGTAATAACAGATTTGTTTGTCAATGTCTTATTTTGATTAAACGCAAAAGATAATCAGCAAGCTCAGAAATCCCAATCATAACTGTTGAGAGGCTGAAATCGGAGGATTCGGACAATTTTAAGGTTAAACAATGGTTCTGAACTTTTATTCGATTGTTCAAATAGCTGTCCATTTATTTGACAATCGAGATTTGTCGATAGATCGATTAATTTTGACAATCTGATGTAGAGAGAGAGAGAGAAAGAGATGTGTGGGCATGTGTATTGATGATATACATAATGCATATCGAGATATGCAGATGTAATATATATTCATGTGGAACAACACCAGTGGGACACTGACTCTGTACATTTGCACGCGCGCAGGTAAGATGTTCAAGTCTTCCGACTTGTCTCTGATCGTGGAGTTCATGTTGATGTTCTACAAGGACAAACCCATCGACTGGCTACTGGACCACATCATGTGGGTGAAAGTCTGCAACCCGGAAAAGGACGCGGTCAGTCCCCCGATTATTCAAAACCTCCTCACCGTGACCTCATACATTTTCCCTTGTGCCAAAAAAGCTTTCCACGGATAGAGGAAACCTCTTCCATGTCATCTGGCAAAGACAACATGCCAAATGGGGTAGTTATATGAGGTCTATTTTTTTGGGAAGGAACGCAGACCTGCAGCCGTAATTAACACTTATAGCAAGTGAGCTAACGACCCAAATGGGTTGAAAGATTAATTTGTTCTCCTCTACTGTCTTAACTTGAATGTGTGAAGGGTCCGTTGAAAAGCTATTTCTGTATATGAAATAAATACCTGACATGGCTGAAATTCAGAAAGAGCTAAAATGAAGATCGGCTCGAGTGTCGCTGGGGTTTATGGCACACATGTTGTTTTGATGCGCAAACATCAAGCTAGCACATTGTAGCCTCTCCAAGGGTGTCTCGCAAAATGACTCAAAGACAAGCCAAGCAAACACTTTCTGTCTACCTGTGAGGAAAATGAATGCGTTCCACAAATCCGATGATGGAGTTTTCCGTCACAGCGTACGTCACAGAGGCTACTATGTCTGGCGATCGTCTCCGTACAACTTTGTATGACATCCGCTCCATTTGCCCTCCTATGCCGCGGGTTCTGCTGGATTCATTTGGATTTCCGTGAAGCAAATGTACAAAAGTTTTTTTAAAAATTAAACTTTTTGGTACATCTGGTGCTGCACCTGTAAACACAAATCGTTTGCTGTCATTTTCAGTTTGATTCAAGTAAGCCCTGGTACACACGTAAGGATTTTTCACATGCTTAAAGATTGGTTTTATTCACCACCGCTTCCTTCTTGTTCAGTCGGGTGCGTCGTTGTTTGGCTACATTGTGTTCACGTGAAATGGCTCGAGTATCGTTGGCTTTCACCACACACGTGAAGATTTTTGGTCCCAAATATTGAACACATTTCGTGTCTCAGATTTTTGGCGCTGAGTGACTCATTTGGACCAGATCATCAGTTCAAATCCACTATGAACAGACCTCATATAAAAGTATCATCTTGGAGAACAATCTTAGAAGACAAAAGATAGTCCGGTGTTTGATGTGCTTGATGGCAAAGGGGCAAAACTGGCAAGAAAGCACCCCGATTGTCTATGGATGTGTAGACCGGGCCTAAACTTTCTACTTGGAAGTCCACCACCGCCTATCTTTCATTGACATTATGAAAATGACTGTCCCTATTCTTCTTGTTCCACATCAACCATCACAACCATGCAAACAAAGCTTGTCATCTTGTGTTTCCCCAGAAACACTGCGACCGTCAAAAAGCCAACCTGAGGATTCGCTTCAAGCCGTCGCTCTTCCAGCACGTGGGAACGCACTCCTCGCTGGCCGGGAAGATACAGAAACTCAAGGTGACGAACGTCGCCATCAACAGAAACGTGAACGTCAACACCAACGTGCGGGTTTTGCCTTCAGGACAAGGACTTCGGGAAGCAGAGCCTCCACAAGGGTCACGCCAACCCGCTGGCCGAGGTCACCACCAGCCTCAAGACGTACCAGCACTTCACCCTGGAGAAGGCCTACCTCGGCGAGGACTTCTTCTGGGCCTTCACACCAGTGGCGGGCGACTTCATCCGGATACGCTTCTTCACGCCCGTGCGCATCGAGAGGTTGGTGCGCAGCCCCTTTTGGGGGGTGGGGAGGATGGGGGGCTTGCTTCGAGATGTTTATTTGTAACTTCCAATCGAAGTTGACTGGAAAACTGACACATAAAACAAAAGATAATTAAACGTTGGGCATTTAAACAACAGCCAAAGTACACTGGGAAAAAAAAGCTTTGACGTGACATAAGTTAAACATGTACAGTACATCAATTGCACATGATAAAAATGCTCTACAGTCGCATTATTTATGATGAAAAGGTGTGAGAATTTGTAAAAAAAAATATCTTTATATATGTCTCTTTATTTTTATGAAACTCGTGTCACAATGTCATCTCATACAACCACAAAAAAGATAATGTAGCTATACAGTTGTGGGATGACACTGTTGTGCATCTGTGTGCCAATGAGAATATTGAAGAAAAAAAAAATTGTTAATCACATTTTACAACTTTCACGGACAGAGGTTACTACAGTGGACAGCTAATCATGTTATCAGGCTGCAGGGTGCAAAAAAAAATAATAATAATAATAATTTTAAACTAAAAGGACTGCTTTTTCAGTGCATATGATTCCACCTAACCAAAGTATGCTATGGTAAAACCTCATAGACAGGCAAATGGCCATTAGCATAGACTTTAAATCTTCAAACAACGGCCACTGTCACACACACACACACACACACACACACACACACACACACACACACACACACACACACACACAGCACCAAAAAACATACAAATGGAGCTAACAGAAAAACTCACGTGCGCACTGTGGCTGTCAGGCGGACGCAATCCTCGCATCTCCAAAATCATAACTTCTCAGGAAATTCAAACCAAAGCCATCTTGCTCGGGTTACCAAACATCACATTGTTCACAGTTGATATGACACTTCGTATTTCTGTGCTCTAACATTAATCCGCCACCACTCCAGAATGAAATGGAATCCCTATTTCAATACGGTAAAAAAAATGGTGATACTTTCATTTTGGACATCTGTGTCATATGTTGATGTTGCTAAAACGTCATAAACATTCCAGGTATTTCTTCCGAAGCGGGAATATTGAGCATCCGGGAGACAAATTGGTCAACACGTCAGTAGAGGTTCTCCCGTTTGATGTGAGACTTTCAATTCATCTTGCAAACAGAATAAATGAGGAATCCAGAGTGTGACGTGGCCTTCTTTGGCTGTTTTCTAGAACATTCAGGCGGACAAAGAAGCTCTGACAGACGGGAAGGACAAAAGTCAGAAATACCATCGCACAGAGGATGGATTCATCCGAATTGGTCAGTCAACATCTCCTCCGCCTCCTCCTCTTCTTCTTCTGCATTTGATGCATTCGGAATCATTCACTCATTTCCTACTTTTGAATCACCACAAAGAGATTTTAAATTGACATTTTATGGAACTATCCAAGTCCCACGTATAAAAAGTAGCCTAAAAAGTGAAATACAACTAAACTGTTCTTCTTTTCCAATCACAACTTTGATGTCCCATGAGGATGTCGTTGACCAACATATGACATCATAAACAACATGATCCCAACGTTTGAATGCTTCATGGTTTTGAAAAATGATCCTTGCGGGACTCCTCCACTCACAAGTAGCATCACACGAAACCCACTATTGACCCCCTAAACCACCAAAAAGCATCAAAACCCACCGAAAACCATCAATATGCTCTCTTATTGAATCAGATGATTGCGTGTGTGCATGTGCGTCAAAAGCAATAAAACACACACATCCCAGCAGCAGCCATCAAGGTAATCCCATTAGTGCTCACATGCTTCCTGGAGCGGGAAGACGACCTCACACAGGGAAGCACGTGGATTATGATGAATGCTGACCCTAACCTCAGCCGCCCACACCCACCCACCGCCATTACCACCATCAACATCAGCCCATCCCCAGAACGGCTGAGCACTAATCACACATAAGCATCAGCTTTGCTTTAATGGACGAGCATGGAATACTCCACGTAAGGTCTCCTAATGACACACGCAAACATTATATACGGCACATACCTCAACTCAGCGGTGGGTGGTGTTTGATTCGACTGTCCATTCAGATTTCTCAATCACAACGGAATCTTCAGTTTCTTCACAATCTGGTCGTGCTGGTTAGCAGGGCACGAACCGAGTAGTCAACTTTATCACTCGGCCATGGCGATTGGAGATTGAGCTTGATTCAACATTTGCATGTTTTGGCAAGAACACGGCCCGCCTCGCAGGAATTAACACATGGTGGGTTTGCGCCATAGGGGTTCTTCAAGACTCTGACAATGTTTGACTAAAAAAACGAGACCCATAGCATGTTTGCTGCGATGTTTGCAAATAGCAGGAGGAGCGCTTGACATGTGCCGGGATAATTTCAGTGTGTGGGATAGTGTATTAAGAATTCAAGAGATGGCAAGGCCTATTCCACAATGCAAGCTTTCATTCACAACCGCAGCGCCTCCTGGCAATACTCGGCCATCATCAGCGTAAACATCCTGGAGCTGCTAAAGTCAGGCCTTCAAAATGAAAAGCATGCTGGCGCCACCTGGTTGAAAAATCCATCTTTTTTGATTTTTTTTTTTCATCTTGACTGGTTCTCGCTCACGCATTCAAAAACGGAAGACAATTGATATGGACTCATTCATTCATGCATTATTAGCGACCAGTCAAGGTCACGCTCCGAATGTCATTGCGGAGTAGTGAAGTCAACGACATCCTCTGATTGGTTGTTCAGAGAAAAACTGGACTCTCCTCTGAAATGTCACCCAATCGCCATTCTTTGTAGCCAGCTCATCCTTTCTTCTTTGGTTTCTTCTTTTTATCCTCCAAATGAGGTTTTCCTTTCCCGAATGTGGTTTTAAATAGTCCATCTTGGTCAACCGTGGTCCTTTGAAGCCCTCCAACACTCTTTTGTGATTAAAGCACTCCTATCCCACTGAGCGGCGAACAATTGTGAGTGTTTTCGAAGGCAGCGGTTGTTGCGTTCATTTCAGAGTTTGTCAGCGTTCGTTCATGGTCGCAAAAGTTCGCAAAGCGGTCGCCAGACGTTCGCCTGTACTCTTCTTGTCGCAGGGGAAATTTGAACATGTTCAAAAATTCCTTGCGGCAATCACGACAACAGCATTAGGCGAACGTTTTGGCGAACATTTGCGACCTTGCACGAACCCTGACGACCTCTCATGTGAGCGCGCATTTTTGTACCTTCGCCAACAGTCGCCATTGTTTCCCCCTCAGCAAGAGAAGGGTTAAAGGGCCATATAAACAAACTTGACTTGCAAAGCCAGCTGCACGCATGAATGCATTTCATCATCAGCATCTCTGGTGGCTAATCTTTGTACTTGATTGAAAAGTTTGATGTCTCTGTAATGTTCAAAGGTAAATATTGATTGTGAAGTGCTCCAGATGATTTTGTACACTCCCAATGGTTTGTATTATTACCTTGGAATGATAGTGAGGCGATAAAGAGGTGGATTGCGTTGGGCAAGTCCCCACTCACGGCCCAGGCATCAAGTGTAGCACAGCCCGCCGCTGTCCCTGCAGAAATCAATAGATATAGTGAGAAATCTCCCAAAAGGCTTTTAGTCCGCTCATATTCCAACGTAGCGTATCGAACCCATTGATCCTCTTCTCACTGTGTCGTCTTCTCTCAGGAATGTTCCAGAAAGGCATCGCAGAGGGGGAAGTGGATCCCACCTTTGGACCCTTGGAGGCCATTCGCCTCAGCGTCATCAGCGACTCTCCCGTTTGGATCATCCTCAGTGAGGTCGGACTGCTCATGCGTTGCTTCTTAGAATGCAAAGGACAGGAATCCAATGGGTTCATTCCTGGAAGTCAACATCTTCCTACCTGGAATCTAACATTTTGATCAATTCATTTCCGGAGTACAAATGCTCAAATTGAATGCATTGATTCCAGGGATGTTCCAGGAAGTGAATGTGTTGATTCCTGCAGATCTCTCCACACCCAGAATTGATCTTGTTACAACACCAGGGATTGAACTTGTTGGTCCCATGAATTTGACCCGTTATTTTTTTTATTTAATTAATTAAGTTAATTTGATTCCCTGGAATTTAACTCATTCATTTAAAGAGTTCATTCTGGAAATTGTTGTTCACATGTTGAATGCAACATTTAATTGCAATGAAAAAAAGTCCTTTGAATTGACTTCATTTGAACATATTACAAGAAGGGAAAATTATATTAGTTTACTATGTTTTGATCATGTATAACCTTTGTACATGATCTAATTATTCAAGGAATTTAATGTGATCATATGTGAAATTTAATGCTTTAAATCATATTCAATCTGTTCATACTATAAAAGAAATCCCTTTTAAGACCTAAATTAAATTCCTGGAATTGATAAGTCTCTTCCTGGAATTGAACACGTTAGATGCATTTAAAGTATACGCATGTGGAATTTACATTTTAATTCCTGAAATGTAAAGCATCAATTTCTAGAATTTAAGATTTTAAGTCTGCATGTGTTGATTTGAAAATTTTTAATCACGATTTCTTTCATCGTGTGATGATGATGATGATGATGATGATGATGACCATGAATGTGATTGTTTGTCCTGTGTGTTTTCTGTTGTCTCCATCAGATTTTCATCAAGAAAGTGGAGTGATGAGTGAGCGGGGTACTCTGGGTCTTGAGGTCTCTGTGTCTTGGGGCTCTCCTTCTTGCTCAGTCAAGCCTCCCAACTTCCACAGTGCCACAGCGCCACCCTCTGGTTGCGTCTGGCCCCTGCAGGTAGAAAAAGCTCAGTCAGATGACGCAAGGTCACGTGACAAGAAGTTGAAGTCATGTTGAACGTTCTGACACCCGAATGGCGGTTGGGGAAAGACCGACGTCGGATGATGATGGTAACGTTGATGACGGTGCCATTTTCGAGGTCTTATTCTCAGACCGAAGCCACCTGGATGTCACGCGTAGCCGATAGTCGCAATCCTTTGCTGAGACTGACACTGACAGAGGTGACATCCTGCGAAGACGTTCCTTGGCTTCCTCGTCCAAATGTTGGGGATGACTTCCTGTGTGCCTTCACAAGGCTGTACACTGGACAGTCAGACGCGCGGACTGACTGACATGCAATTCTCACTGGAAGAGCGACGGTCCACATGACATCAGATGACAACCTTCTCTGCTCCAGTCACGTGACAGACGAGAGATGTTCACATGACAGCAACAACACACATAGTTGGAAGGATGCCATGGTGATCCCCGCTCAGAATGAACTCTTTGCTGTACTTTGTTGGAAACTACTTTGTACTCCCAACTGTTACTTCAGAAGAATTACTCCGCTTTAGAGAGGTACTTTTCTGTACTTGACACTTTTCTACTTTTATGTCACGTCTAGTTTCTTGTCATATCAGTAGCTGATGAAAGGATAAATTATTAAAAGAATCATCAATAAATATGTTTGAATGTCATTGTCTTCTTGTTTCAATATAGTTTGATTTACAAACAACTAAGTCGTTTATTTCAATTTGTTTAAAACATTTCACTAGCATCATTACAATCATTTTTAATATTCACAGAAATACTATTCTGTAATATACCTTGACTTCAACTAAAGCAGGGGTGTCAAAACTCAATTTTGTCACGGCTCATCAAGTACAACGGATTATTCAAATATTGTTTAAATTACTGTAATGAGGGGTTTGGTAACAAGAAAATGCTGACAATATCTTTCTTGTTTATGAGATTTGAGAGTTAAAAATTTTGGTCGAGATTTTAGCAAGCAATTGCTAAAGAAATTGGCATGTTTGATTTGCTTACATGGGCCACATAAAATGGTGTGGTGGGCCAGATCTGGCCCCCGGGCCTTGAGTTTCACACCTGTGTACTAAAGGCACAACTACTTATACTGTACACGGATATCTCTGCACTGTGAGGTCGAGGCGCTCACCATTGGACCACCCTCCACTTATACAAACCCAATTACAATGAAGTTGGGACGTTGCGTTAAACATCAATAAAAAAAGAGGAGAATGATTTGCAAATCATGTACAACATATGTTTAGTTGAATATACTGCAAATACAAGATATTCAATGTTGAAACTTACGGAAGGGCCAATGAAGAAATAAAAGTAGAAACCGATACTTTCTTTTGAGCAAATAATAGTTAACTTTGAATTAACGCTTTCTGTTATTAACATTGCAATTTGTTTGTATGTATTCTTTTTTTTTTTACATATGCACAAACATGAATAAAACAATTATTTCTGGCCTGAAACATACTTAAATAAAACATTAATATATTTTTTTTTAAAACGAAACGTTGTAACGGACGCTTCCGACAACCCGCTGCAACGACCAATCAAGCCTCGACATCCATTGCCAGCTTGACCAATCAGTGCCGTCCACGAGTTGCAGCTCCCCGTCAAACCAATCGGCCGGTGACAGTTGACAGAAAACGTCACGGTGTCCTTCTCGTCGACGAATCAGAAGCAGGCAGGGGCGTTCCAGACAACTCTCCAATATTCCCACGTGATTCTCGACGGCAGTTCCAGAGCAGGCGGCTGAGGTGAGTTGATTTGTCCAAATAAATGGCGGATGACTGCTACACGCGCTCAACGGGTCGAGTCTTTTAAAGCGTTGGTTTACGCTCTGCTTGTGTACACTACATGTGTGTTTCGTGTTGTTGGGAGAAAGTCGAGGTTTGGGCGTTCGATCGAGAAGCTAAGTGAGGTTAACCGAACTGGCCCGCTAATGCTCGTGTGCTACGTTATCAGAACATGTCGCTCGTTAGCCAGCTAACTGCTCACTACTGGACGATATAACTTCCCGACGTTCACTCGAGTTAGGATAACGAATTCAGCCTTGGCTGGCACGGCAGATAAGTGACAATAAGGCAAGGCCCGGCTAAGATCAGAGCTAGCCCTTTTAGTGTCGGGGCTACTGCATTGCGTTTTTCAACTATTAATTTTTACTGTGTATTTATCAATCTACATCCTTTTTGTCCACGATTTTTCATGTTTTTAAGAATAGCCCCTTGCCATGCGAGGGGGTCCTTTCAACACATAATTAGGGATGCAACGATAACGGGAATATTGAAGTTGCCAGGATATCCTCGTCGTCATGTTACATATTAAAAGCGGCACATCTCTGTCAAAAAAAAAAACGTTACTTTAAACCTGCCTCATCCGAACACAGTATTGTGAACTGCGAAGACCCGGATACATTGCTCTGCTGAGCCAATAGGGAAGCATGACAATAAAATGACTGGGCATGTCTATTTTGTTGGTCACTGTTATGGACAAAAACACATTATTTTGCTTTTGTTTCCAATATCATATTTTAATTTCATAAAATTAAATTTAACATATCTGTGATTTCCACTTAAAAATGCATTTATTATGACTTAACACATAAATATTAAATTTCCATTGTGACTGGTTGAATATATGTTTGTGGACCAGCAGACCCCGGTCATTTTGTTTTTCAGACAAACAAAACACTTTGTCACACACAAGTTCCAAACATTTACAGGTGTGTAAAGGCCTGTTCCTCATCCACATGCTAGGAGGCAGTGTTGCTGTCACCATTGAATAGAAACAAGTCATCTCCTAAAAGCCCCTACATGAGCTTCTATTTAGTGTTGATTTAGCACAAGTCCGGAAACAAGATATGACTGTCATTTGTTTGCCTCAACCTTGCTTTGTCTTGACATTGAAGACCTGCTGTTGCTGCAGGGGTATAGAAGAAAAAACAGCAGCAGGTCTTCCATTTTGAATAAAGGAGGAAATTAAAACCGTTTTTTCGATTCACTGATTCATCTACAAAATAGTTGAAAGATTAATCGATGATCAAAATAATTGGTAGTTGCAACCCTTATTTCCCCATATGGTCAGTTTAGCCAAACAAAACTGCACAACCATAAATACAGTTCTCACATTTAGCCATTTCTTGTTTTCCCTCCAACAGCGATACAACTGGGATTCCTTATAACGTTAACGTTAGCAGTTTTTGCTTTCTTTGGCACCATACTGACTTAATTGTTAATTTAGAGGCACCAAAAAAAAAAAAAAAGCACAATTAAGCCAAAGTTTTTGAACTCAGGCCAAATTTCTTGGAAAATGTCTGTTTGGACACGAGGTTGCAAGCTAGTTTGGGATGAGAAGTGAACTTGGTACTGCCCCTTTGAGAAAGTGATCTGTGGCACTATTGACTGTTAGAATCTGTGAGAGGGTTGCTAGGAGACCAGAGACTGGTCCACATGTTTGGATCCAGTCTGTCCGGTGGATCTGGTTCAGCCTGGTCAGCGTGCACGTTGATTCCAGGAAACTTGAATATAAGGGGGCTGGGGGTATTCATACTGATATATGTATTCTTTGTGGTTTTAATACTTCTAGGCTTTTGTCTGATCAACATGGTTGTATTTCTTGAAATGTGTTTTTCTCTCAATCATTAAAAGGTTATGGGTGATTTCAATTTCTGGTAAATGGGCGCAGTTGTCTCGGTAAACTATTTGGAATTTTCTCATCACGGATGAGAATGGAAGATGCAATACGGCAGTACACTGTAACCTAATTTAGCGGTGTGCCTATGTAGCGGCCATGTTGGTCAGGCGGAGCATTCCTACTCACAGTGCTGTATCCACGTTGAGAATCAAATCAAAACTCGTCCTCAACTGATTTTCATGGCATTTATGTTTTTGTCCAATGCTATGATGTTTCAAAGCACATTCTAATATTTCAGAATGTTTGTGGGAAGGGGGTGATGGGGGGACCCCCAATACATTCTTGTTCCTTTTTAGGTCAAGGTAACCTTTTATTGTCAAATATGCCCTATATACAACATACAGCACAGATGAAATATCTTTCCTCTCAATCCTCAGTGCAAACATGCCGTGTATTAAAACACACACAGCTAAAGATAAGGCAGCAAACTACACTGTATAAAAAGATATAAATATATAACTCAAAACAACATAACAACGGCACTTGTGACTACAGTGGGTTAAACTGGGGTAGTGCATTGTGCAATACGCTGTAGTTCCTCCAGTTGCATCACAGATGACCTAAAGCTACGACGCATGTTTGTCTATTTGGAGAAATAAAGCTTCAACAAACAAACCATGATGTTAATTATCAAATGAACCTGAAAGGCATTATGTTTTGGCCCCCACCCACCTTTCTACAAAACACACCCACACAATATAATAAGCGCTCATGTGTGCCAGATGGCTGCCAAGCTAACAGCTACGTTCCTATTGCCAATCCCACTAATCCCATTAGCCTGATTAGCGTCTGTGGGCTAACAAGCAAATCTTAAACCCGCGCCGCCACATTTTATTGGCAAATTGTCCTGGAGTTCATGCGACTTTTGTTTCCATGGTTCAGTCAACTTCCCATCATGCATTAGTATGTCATGTGACCACGAGGGCAATCCCCTTAGGCCTTTTGTGAATGTGTTCACATCTTTGTGTATGTGTGTCTGCTTCAACGTGTGCACGCGTGTCCCATGGTGTGAAGATGTCATTTGGGTGACTTGTGTGCCCTGTGGGTGCTTGGTTGCCATGGCGCACATCCATCGCCACAGTAACATGAAACGATTTTGCGCGTGTGTCATAAACAAAGCCTGTGATCTCTTTATTCCTTTCGCATGTCGAGTGCAGACGATGGATCGTACGGCGTGGTTGTGCGTTGTCTTGGCGACAGGCGTCCTCTGCCTGAGCTTGGCGCCGGCGTGTGGAGCCCACGACCATGACGAAGACGTCCTGGACGATGACCTGGACCTGGACCTGGAGGGAGGCGACGAGGAGCTGGAGCACGACCACGATGCCCCGGCGCCTCCCAAAACACCGCCTACTCCCACTGTAAGTTGATGGTCGATTTGCCGCTAGTTGTTGGTGACGTAATGTGTAACAGTGTCGTGGTGGTGGCGGCGCAGGTGACCTACAAAGCTCCGGAGCCAATGGGAGAACACTACTTTGCTGAATCTTTTGACCGCGGAACGTTGGACAGGTGAGCGGCAACTTTGCTATACAGACTCACGATATACAGTGATGCCTTGAGATCACCTTTCCCCATTGAAATGAGTGGAAGTGGTCATTATCGATCCCAGCCTCACCGTTAAGAACAACAAAATGTCATGTCTAAGGCCTGATCTTTACTGAATTGTTTTTTGCTTAAGAAAAGAAAAGAAAAAACCTTTATTAGTCTCGCAATGGAGAAATTCACAATTCACAGCAGCAAAGTTATGAAAGGAAGAAGTAGAACAACAAAATATAGGAGCTGCTGGAAAGGCAGCCACTTTTGAAGCAATGAATTGATTTTTGTTCAACATTTTCAACACATTTCAATGTAATCATTACTTTATTCCATTTTTATTTTTCCTTCATTCAAGCTCAGTGTGCATAATGTTGCAGGAGTTTATAATTAGAGGTGCTATGATCGACAACTAATTGATAATTATTTTTGTCAATAATAATCAGTTAAAGGTTTAGATACCTTTTTTCCGCAGCTTCTCAACAGGACATATTTCCGTGGTCCTCCTTGAAGGCAGACTGATCGTTTATTCTGTTTTTAGTTCTAACACAGCATCCCAACGTCATTGGAATTGGGTTTGTAAATATGGAAAATATTTACCTCGCCACTTGTCCTTTTCAACTCGCTTTGGCAATGAGGCAAATGGGTAGCGCACACCTTGGTGTTCTTGGCAGAGCGTGACATATATACATGCCTGTCCTTGTTATGTTGTCTGTCTACATGTGTTGCTCCCTTGTTTGTGTTCAAATATCTAAAAGGTTACAACAATGACACCAGTGCTAGTCATTAACCCATCTGTCGTATTTTGCATTGTTTCTTTGCATTGAGCTTAGTGTGCTTGCTTTTAATGGAATAAAAAACACACTTTGAACTACGATAACACTTACTCTGCGAATTCTGTACTTATTGATGATGCATTTGAGTGTATGCTTCAAATTGTCCAACTTGAAGCCGTTGTGAGAGTGCTGCCAGTACAGTTTTTTTTGTATGAGCCCATTCATTGTGTGCGGTCACAGTGCTGATCTCTAATCTAAAATGTTCGACTGGTGGTGGTGCATCATGAATAATTCTCGCTTCCCTCCCCTATCAATCCCAGTGGAGGGGGCATCGGGGGGTGAAAACATCTGCTCGCCACTGAATGTTTGGATTCTAAAATGTGAAACCATGTTTTTGGCACGATCTCTAACGGCTGTCAATCAATCGCCTTCCAGCTGGGTGCTATCCAGTGCCAAGAAGGACGACACCGATGAGGACATCGCCAAGTACGATGGTGGGTGTGCTGCACGCACATGATTATGGTGATCATAACGACGAATGATGGTGACGATCTTGTCCAGGCAAGTGGGAGGTGGAGGAGATGAAGGACAGCAAGCTACCCGGCGATAAGGGTCTGGTCCTTAAGTCGCGAGCCAAACATCACGCCATCTCCGCCCTGCTCCTGCGACCATTCACTTTTGACACCATGCCGCTCATTGTTCAGTAAGAAAGCATGAACCCGCGCATGCGCGCACACACTTGAAACATCCTTGAGTGACATACGGGATTGTGATTGTGATTGTGTGTGTGTGTGTGTGTGTGTGTGTGTGTGTGTGTGTGTGTGTGTGTGTGTTTGTGTTTGTTTGTTTGTTTGTTTGTTTGTTTGTTTGTTCAGGTACGAAGTGAACTTCCAGGCCGGCATCGACTGCGGCGGTGCTTACGTCAAGTTGCTCACTCAGGCGCCTGAACTGGACCTGGTCAGTCTCAGCACCCTTGAACCTACTACATTATACGTTACATATTAGGGCAGGGATCTTCACTGAAAATTAGCTTACAAGGAATTTCTCAACACAAAAGGCATCAGCTTCAAAACGTTTCAATTTACAAAGCCGATTCGCCAAACGATATCAAAATGACACGATTTCCTTTTCATAACAGTTGAGGTGTTGCAAATGCTCGTCATGCGTCATCGTAAACTTTCTGTTGACTAAAAGTCTTTTAGTCTTATTCTTATTTCAATCAAAATACTGTACGACGATTTTAGTCTCGTTTTAGTTGATGAAAACTGATGACATTTTTGTCTAGTTTTTTCTCAAAGATATAACTGATGACATTTTAGCAGAGGGGTGAGTCAAAGAAAATTCTCTTTTCAGGAATGCAATTTCATTTCGTCCTATCAGTATAGGACAAGGCCCTAATGGTAAAGATGAAAGCAACATCGTCCTTTAGCCAAAACTGTTTGTGTCTTATAGACTCAAGAATACTTCCATTTCAGACATGGCTGATGGACTGATTTGAATTATGTTCGACAACATTTTTATTTTACCAAGCATGTTAGAAGTAAACACACATTGATTTCAAGAAAATTGCATCACAATGCCACAAACAGTCATGCACACACACACGCACGCAAATGTGATGAAAACTGAAATCTGTCTCAACCATAAGAAAAGCTGTTTTGATCCTATTAAATGACAACACATGAACTTGGAATACATGGATTCCCTGAAAAACACAAATTCAAAGTGCTTGTTAATCACACATGTAAACACTGAAAACCATTCACGTTGAAATGCCAAGAACAGTAATTACTTCAAGAGCCAGTAAAGTGAAACAAGCACACCAGGCTTCTCAAAGAATACAAATATACTCGTCTGACCATTCATTCTGTTCAAACTGTTTTCCAAGTGAACGCTCAAAAACTTTTTTTTTTTTTTTTTTTATTCTTTTTTAGGTCTTTTGAAAATAGAAACTCACATACGCAAAAAATTGAAAAACGATGTAGCGACAACAGTTAAATGACACGATTTCCTTTTCATAACAGTTGAGGTGTTGCAAATGCTCGTCATGCGTCATCGTAAACTTTCTGTTGACTAAAAGTCTTTTAGTCTTATTCTTATTTCAATCAAAATACTGTACGACGATTTTAGTCTCGTTTTAGTTGATGAAAACTGATGACATTTTTGTCTAGTTTTTTCTCAAAGATATAACTGATGACATTTTAGCAGAGGGGTGAGTCAAAGAAAATTCTCTTTTCAGGAATGCAATTTCATTTCGTCCTATCAGTATAGGACAAGGCCCTAATGGTAAAGATGAAAGCAACATCGTCCTTTAGCCAAAACTGTTTGTGTCTTATAGACTCAAGAATACTTCCATTTCAGACATGGCTGATGGACTGATTTGAATTATGTTCGACAACATTTTTATTTTACCAAGCATGTTAGAAGTAAACACACATTGATTTCAAGAAAATTGCATCACAATGCCACAAACAGTCATGCACACACACACGCACGCAAATGTGATGAAAACTGAAATCTGTCTCAACCATAAGAAAAGCTGTTTTGATCCTATTAAATGACAACACATGAACTTGGAATACATGGATTCCCTGAAAAACACAAATTCAAAGTGCTTGTTAATCACACATGTAAACACTGAAAACCATTCACGTTGAAATGCCAAGAACAGTAATTACTTCAAGAGCCAGTAAAGTGAAACAAGCACACCAGGCTTCTCAAAGAATACAAATATACTCGTCTGACCATTCATTCTGTTCAAACTGTTTTCCAAGTGAACGCTCAAAAACTTTTTTTTTTTTTTTTTTTAATTCTTTTTAAGGTCTTTCGAAATTAGAAGCTCACATACGCAAAACATTGAAAAACGATGTAGCGACAACAGTTTCTCCCCAGCTCTGGAAGTTTTTTGCCACTTGACCTCTGCAACTCTGTTTCTCTTACCACTTTGAAATCCAAAGTCAAAACTCACCCATTTAGGATCGCCTACTTACTGAAACCACACTGCATTGTATTTTTTTTAAAATTTCTTCTGTATAGTTGTTTTATTGGTTTAATGTCCATGGGGGTCTCAAAAGGTGCTTCAAAATAAAATGTATATTATTTTTGCTGCTATTATTTTACTATTACAAGTCCTGGTTGTGCTTAATGATATACATGTTTGAAATGTGTATGTGCGCGCAGTCCCAGTTTGTGGACAAGACGTCGTACACCATCATGTTTGGACCAGACAAGTGCGGTGAGGACTACAAACTGCACTTCATCTTCAGACACAAGAATCCCAAGACGGGCCAATACGAGGAGAAACATGCCAAGAAGCCCGATGCTGACCTGCGCACATACTACACCGACAAGAAGACACACCTTTACACTCTTGGTCAGTTACACACACACACAAATATGTCCACATGCTTGACTTGTTTGCATCCACCCTCCTAGTGCTGAACCCCGATAACACGTTTGAGATCCTGGTGGACCAAACGGTGGTGAACAGCGGCAACCTGCTGACTGACATGACCCCCCCAGTCAACCCTCCCGCTGAGATCGAGGACCCTGACGACCAAAAGCCCGAAGATTGGGACGAGAGGCCCAAGATACAGGACCCAGATGCCACCAAACCTGAAGACTGGTCAGTAAAAAAAATGACAGCACCTCCTAAATCAGATGTGCGTGATTACAGAATAAACATGTATTTATTTATTTTGTATTTTGCGGCCGTTGCAAGTTTTAGCCATGCTTCACCAAAGTTTTCTATTTCGGGATGTACAATTAATTAAACAGATGTTTAATTCATTCATGGCCCAGCTCAAACTGACACAATTTTGTTGGCATGCGCGCAGGGACGAGGACGCTCCCGCTCAGATTCTCGACGAGGATGCCGTCAAACCCGACGGCTGGTTGGACGATGAGCCTGAGTACATCGGAGACCCAGATGCGGTCAAGCCCGAGGACTGGTGCGTTGTCGCAGCGACTGGTCAGGTTTAAATAGCTATCATGTCTCCACGTGTGGCCTGTGCGTGTATGTGTCTGTCAGGGATGAGGACATGGACGGCGAGTGGGAGGCGCCTCAGATCCCCAACCCGGCCTGCGAGGCGGCGCCTGGCTGCGGCATCTGGAAGCGCCCCACTATCGAAAACCCCGACTACAAGGGCAAGTGGAAGGCGCCCATGATCGACAACCCCAACTACCAGGTGACCTGTCAAACTGCAGATGTTCTTCTGGCATATTTATGACAAAGAACTACATAGGAGTTGGGGAGCTTCATCTAGATAAAAGTGGCACTTTGTCACCATTTTATGGCATCTTTGCCATCAAGAAACTATGTTGGAGTTGAGTTTTAGGTAGATTAAAAAAAAGTACTTGGCTGTCATCTCACTTCCAAAGATGTTGGAGATGAGCTTTCATGAGACAAAAATAGTACTTTCTGCCATCTTGTGGGGTCTCACTTCCAAAGAGCTTTGTTGAGGTCGGCTTTGCTGCCATCTTGGTGCCAAGGAACTATGTTGGCGTTGAGGAGTTTCACTTAGTCATATATTTTGCGTGAGCATGTCTTTATAAAGTTAAGACAACATAACTGTTCTTCCTAAAAAATAATAATAAAAAGACTCTTCTGAGGGACAGTCATACACGCATTCCCCATTTACAATCGCTACAGATGGAATTTTTTAGGGGGGAAAGGGGGCTGTATCCATTATTTTCCCCTCGGAGGCCCGATTGTGATGTGGCTGTGTGTGTGTCCTGTAGGGCGTGTGGAAGCCACGCAAGATTGCCAACCCAGACTTCTTCGAAGACCAGCACCCATTCCGGATGAGCGCCATCAGCGCCGTGGGACTGGAGCTGTGGTCCATGACGTCCGACATCTTCTTCGACAACTTCCTGGTCACTGACGACCGCAATGTGGCGGAGCGCTGGGCCAACGACGGCTGGGGCCTCAAGAAGGCGGCTGAGGGCGCTGCTGAGGTACCGAATCCACCGCTTTTATGCAAAATAGAAGGTGTATAAATCATTTAGGCATAAATACTACTTTTCTATGAAAAAATATTCTTACCATTATCTTGACTTTTCTCTTTTAAATGTGTGTGTGTGTGGGGGGGGGGTTGTAAATATGTCACTTTCTGAACAAGCTGTTTTAGAAAATGTGACCTTTGTGAAAAAACACGAACGCTTTGAGAAAATAATTGTTTTGTCAAATAGAAGTCTTTAGTTTACACCTTTTTTGGAAATAAACATTTTAAGTGTACATTTTTTTCCACAAAATATCGACTTACTTGAAATCATTTCATCCTCATAACTTGATTTGTACGACTCTATTTTCAGATAGTTAACTTTTGAGGGGGGAATATTGTGTTTTCTCTAATTATAGTCTTTACCGGAACTGGTTATAACATAACTTTTTGGGGTTTTGTTGAAGTAACCTTTTAAACTTTTTTTTTTTTTCCAAGACTAACTTATATGGCTTTTTCAGACAGGTAAAACTTTAATTTCAAGATTTCTTTTTTGTAGATGTATGACATTTTTCTCAAATGACTTCTTTGGAAGTATGACTTTTTTTAAATGTCTTATTCAGGACCATACTACTTTTTTTTTTCACTCAAATGACCTATCGGGTAATTTTTCAACACTTTCGGAAATACACAATTGTTTTTTCAAAAATGACTTTCGAAAACGTATGACTTTTCTCAAGTGACCTCTTTGGACATACTTGAATTTAATCTCAAATGACTTTTTTTTCTGAATGTGTAGAACTTTCTTGGAAATATTCAGCTTTTTCAAAATTATAAATGCCCTTTTCCAGAAATATCACAATCCAACTATTTTTCGGAAACACTTTTTTTTTTTTTTTTGTCCTTCAATTTTACTTATTTTCCAAAATGTATGTCACATGGAGAGTTTTGTGGCCCCCTCCTTAAACGCGTTTTGCAATGTTTTGGGGCAGCCAGGTCTGGCGGCTCAGATGATGAATGCGGCAGAGGAGCGTCCTTGGCTTTGGGTCGTCTATGTGCTGACCGTGGCTTTGCCACTCATACTCATCGTCGTCTTTTGCTGCACCGGAAAGGTAACCGCATATGAAGACACGCACAGCATATGAAGACACGCACACAAAAAATTGTCGTCGTCTTTTGCTGCACCGGAAAGGTAACCGCATCTGAAGACACACACGCACACAAAAAAATTCAAAGTTCAATTGAGAATGAGTATCGGAGTGTTTTTTTGTTTTTGGTTTTTTTTTGTTTGCAATTGTTTAATAAAACACTTGCTCCAGTTCCCTGAGATTAACGTGCAAAAAAAAAAAAAGCTCCACAAACTTAGAAAGTTGCTCTACAAATGATGTTATTGATTCACCAAACTGCACTGCTCTACAAAGAAAATATTTTGAGTCTAAAATAGGACTGTTTTAAAAAAATGTACCACATATGCCATGTTTTTTGCTAGGTTTTTTGTAAATAAAATTTGCCTTTTTTTTCTATAATACATACTTTCTGTCTAAAATACACTATTTCCAAAGAAACTAGAATTTTGTGAAATTGACTACTTTTTGTTGCACAAGTGTGACCATTTTTTTTCCAAAAATGTATAACTTTTTCTCAAGTAGGATGATATTGTACTTCCAGCAAAACAGCTCACGTTTGCGTCATACATGATGTCACAATTGACGCTCCTCTTCTTGAGAGCGAAAAGATGGCAATGACTGTTATTTGCGTGCAGAAGAAGAGCGAGGCCCCGGCCGCCGCGGACTACAAGAAAACAGACGAGCCTCAGCCTGACGTGAAGGGGGCCGAAGAGGAGATCAAAGAGGAGACCAAAGAGGCGGACAAGAGCAGCCCAGGTCTCTGATAGCACCGAGCAAACTTTTCCTTGACCTTTCTTCCTTCGTGCTGGCGTGACCCAAGGCGTTGTGTGCTTATGTGCAGACGGTGAGTGTGACGGCGAAGGTGTGCAGGAGGAGGCCAACGATGAAACTCCTGCCGACGAAGATGATGTGGAAGGCGACCAGGAGGTAGAGGAGAAGGAGGCGTCAGCTGAGGAGGTGACAAGAAAAACACCCTTCTGTTAATCTAGTGGACACTGAACAATGGAACCCGCAAAGAATATCTGTTTCAAATTCGTGATTTTCTTTTTTTTTTTTCCCCCAAGATGTTTCACTTGGGCCTTATCATGGCATATAGTCAATAATCAGCCAGCCCTGTTAACTTTTCTTTTGAGAGGACTTTGCCATCAGGACTTGGATGTGACTTGTTTCCTTTGTTTCAGAAGCTGGAGGATGACATACTGCGGAGATCTCCCAGGAACAGGAAGGTCAGAAAGGACTGATCAGTCTCAACCTGGAGTCCACCCCCCTCCCTGTGCCCTTCCCTCATCTTTGGCCGCTCTGCCTTCACTCGGAAGCGGGCGGAAAAAGAATGAAAGCGAAAAGCGCAGATGATTCCAGCGCCGGCAGGACTGACTTAGATGTAAGGTTTTTTTTGTTTGTTTTTGTTATTTTAAAGAGATTATACAAGTCCATTGCATCTTCCTGCATCATTCCGAAACAAAATATGAGAGCGAACTCCAACCCAATGCACTGGCGGATGGCCAATCAGACGACACCGAGAGGATGTCACACACTTGCTAATCAGCCTCATTTGCGTTGAAACGGTGAATCAAAACCAACAGTCTGTGGAATGTAATTTGGTAGTTTAGCCACTGGCAACCATTTCTTATGATTGGCATGTATTTGACATGAGAAAAAAAAAACTACTTGCAAAAGGTACTTCCACAGTTTAATTGTTCCTCCTGCCAAGCAGTGAAAGAGCATGTCATTGTTGTTCCTGACACTAAAGGTCACTGGCATAGATGGGTGAACAAAACATATTATGTAGAGTAACTCACCGTTTTCATGATTTCGCTCGTTTAATTTTCATTTCACCACAATTGAGGAAATTGAAACGATAGGTCGCCATCTCCTTCTCCTTTACATTGATGACATCACTTCTTGTCACATAATTGAGGAAATTGAAACGATAGGTCGCCATCTCCTCCTTTACATTGATGACATCACTTCTTGTCACACGTAAATCCATCATGAGATTGCAACGAAATCTGAGGGTTGATGGATAACATTTCTATTTTCTGGTTTGAATTTTTTGTTTTGTTTTAATTATTTGATCGAATCCTTCAACGTAGCTCTGCACTGAACAGGAAGTGGCTGAGTGTGGCATATCATGTTTTGAGGCGTCGCTCTGTCCGTGCATCTATTTCATTAGCTATTTAGCTTAGCCCGAGCCATGGAACTTGAGTCGGGTCCCCCCCCACCCCCCTTTTTTAATTTTATTTTGTGTTTGTATTCGGCTACTTATTCCCTATACGTAGTGGAAATTTTACGAACTATTTAGGTTTGCAAAATAAGCATCCCGATATAGTGAATAGGTAGTGGGGAATGATTTTGAACACATTCGCTACATTTGCATTCATTCACTCATTCCTGACTACCTAATCTTGATATCATGATTATATAAGGGACCGTGGTAGTTCCGAAAGTCTTTTGGTCCATGGCGTCATTGTCGCCATCATGGTGATATCTCCTGCTAACACACTGTATGTCAGGTCCACTCGCTAAATGCTGCTTGGTTTTTTTTTTTTTGGATTTTTTTTAGTTTTAGCTTTTTGTGTTGAAACTAAAGCGTTGGCCCAGCCTCTTCCTGGGCTGTACATGCAGCGTGGCGAGCGAGATGCCGCCAGAAAGGTCCAACTTTGACTAGAAATACTGTGACAGACGCTGATGTGTGTTTTGATGAATAAAAAGGCCAAATGGAACTGTTGCATTTCTTCTTCTTTAGCTGCTCTAGATTGATGTGGAGATGTTTTAAAGGCAACACTGTGCACTTGTATTAATCGCCAACACATGAGCTGTGTTAATTTCTGGATGAAAAATCTTAATTGTTTAAAAAAAAAAAGTCACCCCCCCAAAAATCAGTGTAATCTAATGTCAGTAATCTTTAAACATTTCAATTTTTTCTTGGTCAAATTAAGTAAATACAATCCATGCATTAAAAAAATGATTATTTTTCAACCAATCAAAGCTAATCTGGAATAGTTTTCCAAAATGCATTTTCAGAAATTGTGTAAACAGAAAAATCACAAAAATGGTGTGTGTACATGTGTATACTGTACATGTATGTCTCTCACACACACACACACACACACACACACACACACACACACGTGTGTGTAGCGAGACAGAGTGGTGGGGGGAATCCCAAAATTTTAATGTAAAAAAAAAATAAATTCTAAACAAACATTTTTAGGCTATGAATTTTTTCAAAATAGTTTGATGGGATGGAAAACAAATGTTGGCAAATCAATTTGAAATTGTTCCCCTGCCTGTCGTTTCCCTTTCGCACGCTCACCCATCGCCTGCCGTATATTGGGCCCTTGTGCTGTCCATCACCAGCAAGGGGGCGGGGCGTGAACATTGCTCTACACATCGAGGAAAAAAAGAGAAAGTTACCAAAATGGCGGCGTCAACCTGCCCGTCCACTGGAAAACAATAGACGAGCACGAACGGAGCCACAAGCAGCCCTAATCTGGGAGCAGCACCGTCAACCTGCGGCGACCTATTTAAAAAAGAGCTCGCTCCGAGTTGGCTTCGCTCGGGAGCTAACTAACTTGTCAGGCAGGCAGTCCGTCAGTCAGTCTGTCCCCCGACCAGAGCTACTGAGCTAGCCGAAGAGCTAGCTTTGGCTACACGGGGGGAGGGTGGTAGGGAGGCGGGCGGCCGCAGGAGGAGGCGACCAGGCGAACAACCGGCCAAGCGGGCGGAGGATCAGCTGTTGCCTCAACAGATGCCGTAGAGAGCGCACGGCCCAGCCCCACGTTCACAGTAAGTCCCTTTTGACACACGCGGACAATGTTGTCGTAGCCCCCAAAACGAAAAGGCCACCATTTTGTACGCCAACCGAGCCGGAAAGGCCTCCGAAGTTGGCGAACAAGTAAGTCCGCTCGAAAGAGTCGCCGAGTGGCTTAGCTCGCGTTAGCTTAGCACCTAGCTAACATCCATCGAGCGACTGAAGTTGCCACCGAGTTAACATGAAATTGCCCCCCTACAACATGCCCCGTGCCCCGTGAGCTCACTTGGGCCAAGGGGCCCGCTTCAATTGCCACTTTTTTTCAGTCGTGCAACTTCTAGCGAGTGGAGGAATGTGCTAGCATGTAAACACAACACAAATGTTGCTAATGCGCTAATTAGTTAGCTTTCTGGCCAACTTGGACGCGGCTTGTCGCTGCTCGTTTCCCCGCAGCTCGGCCTTGCGTCTCGCTCTTCTCCCCGGCCAAGAGGCCGGACGGAAGGACGGCCGGCCGGCGGTGACAGAAGGCCGTGAGCAATCCCAAAGGTCTCCTCCAATGGAGCCAGCAGCACGGCTGGCATTGTAAGGGTCGAGAGACTGACGGACGGACGCAGAGGGTGTACGGACGCTCCTAGCCACAAAAGCAATAATTATAATAAGCAAGAGCCACAGTCGGCGTTTTATGGACCTAACCTGAGCCAGCAAGCCATTTTTTGTATTGATGATGGCGGATTTTGTTACACCGCGACACAGCGCGGTGATGGAGCGGCTGCGGCGGAGAATCGAGCTCTTCCGGCAGCATCACAACAGCTGCGAGAGACGCTACGAAGCTGCCGCGCTGGAGAGCCTGGAGCTGGAGAGGCAGCAGACCCTTGCCCTCCACCAGCGCTGCCTGCAGGCCAAGGCCAAGAGGTCCAACAAGCACCGGCAGCCCCCGGCCAGCGCCGGGGAGCAGGCTGGGCAGAGGGCTCCCGGGGCCGCCGGCGGCGGAGGAGGAGGTGGCGGTGTTGGAGCGACGGGCGCGGAGCTCGGCGACGGCAGCGGAGTCGCCGCCGAGCAAAGCCGAAACAGCACGCTAATTGCAGTGAGTAAAACACCACCACGACTCAGTGAGCTACTGGTTCCTTTTGTTGTAATGTTTTTTACTATTTGATTTTAGAATTATGCTGATTGAAAAAACACTTCCACTACTGTTGACACTACGACTACTACTTGTATCAAAACACTGCTATGGCTCCAAGTATTAATACCACTAAAAGTGCTCGTCCTGTTACTACTACAATTCCTAAAACTATGACGACTTGTACAATTACTGATTACATCGTGACTATGACTACTACAACAATATCACTACTACAGCTATAAGTACTACTACAATTGCTACTACTAAGACTAGGACTCTATATTATGACTAAATTAAGTAAGAAAATTCATTTGAGTAATTTTTCCAGGACTGTTATTGGAACTGTTAGTGGTGCATCCTAACAATATTCTGGTCTTTACTCATTCAAGCCATGAGCTGGTTTAGTAATGGGGCTCGGTAAATTTTGAGTTACGAGCACTTGGTGCAACAGAAACTAGCTCATAACTCAAATGTTGCCTCATGTCACAAAGCCTAAAAAATGACCAATTGGCAGCTCAGTCCTGGAAAAATCAGCAAGTTGTTGTAGCACTTCACAGGGGGCGAACCCGGTGTCTCCTCGTATGAACCTGCACTGATTGTCGCTTAGCTCGTTCGCAGTGTACATGCACCTTTTTCTACTTGAAAGAACAACGTGTGACACGCTACTTGTGACTCTCGAGTGAAATGAGGGGAGACAGTGTCAAGAATAGACTTGCTTTGGAAGATATTTTCTGCAGTCAAGGGAACCTGCTTTTGTATAATAATCGTCATAGGGTAGGTAGGACATGTTTTATTTACTGCTGCTCGTTGTTGGTCAGTCAGCGCATTTCAATTGGCTGCCTTCCATTCACGTCATAGTTCATGGAGTCAAATGGCTGAAGAGACATTGCTTTTCCCCACACAGCCAAGATTTTAGGTGGTAACTATTCCAGCCTGAGGATTTCACGGTAACGATCGTTTCCGGTAGCGTGTCGTTTCGTTGGGATCATTTGTACGGTACGGTAAAAATCACCGCACACTAGTTGACTGTACGCGATAGAATCTCTCCTGTGTGGTCACCGCGATTTCACTGTGGCTGTATGTGTGTTTGTGGTGTGGTGTGTGAGAGTTTTTCTTCTATTCTACTTTCGTTTTGTTTTTATTAAGTGGGTTGGGGGGGCGGAACAGGAAACATGTGCGCATGCGGGTTGCTATTTTAGTCTGCACGCTGAGAAAGCGCGTGGATGATGGATAGAGATGGCGGCGAGAAAAAAAACGCAGAAAGGTGTATTAGTTACTACATTTAAGAAATGGGAATGCCAGTCAGATTTTTCTTTCGAATCATCCGAAGGAGGGCGTATTACCAAGCCGACGTGTGATGCATGCACAAAACTCGAAAGAGAAATACGACGGGAGACACAATAATGGGGCAAGTACTTGAAGTTGGTCATTAGATCTAAAGGCTAATCGTTATGAAAAATATGAAACAGTCTTAATCGTTTAATATTTCAGATTGATAGCCCGACCTGATTATCCAGACAAATCTACTCTTAACACATCTCAGTCCACATGATTATCTTCTAGGAAAGTTTTAGAAGATTTCGCGTTCAAAGGCGTTTGATGCCCATGGCTGGGAAGCGATAAAATGAGAACAAAAATGCACTCATTGCCTTTTTTTTGGATTTAGCCTAAGTCATTGTACTATAATGAAAGGAAAAAAAACAGCTCATATTCCAACAAATCCAAATAGCTCCAATTGGAGTCTTTATCTGCCCCCAAATACTTTACAAAGCTGCACATACACTTCTTTAAAAACTGTCTTGAAGCAAAGACTACACTGGCCCATTCCGGCAATGACTTCTACCTCCTGAAAAGTTTTTCTTTTATGTTGAAAATGACTTTGCTCAACCAAGATACCTTACTATACAATGGCCAAAGGGAGAACCCAACCTCGTTTTCAATGCCATAAATACTTGCTCGCGGGGACAATCCCTCGGGGTTCTTTCTACATTTTAGGTGATCCTGCGTCACTACGGGACAGTATGTCAGGCCATCTTAAGTTCACTGCCTCTGGCCTGACCGGGCCACTACAAATTTCATTAACAAAAATGTTGAAAGTAACATCTTGCTGCACACATTTTTTTTTTCCTGTCAGATTTAATCTTAATATACCTACCTGGCGAGTGCCAGTTCTGGCAACCACAACATGCCTCGCCCAAAAAGTCACAATGTCAGACGCTGTAAATGCGGCGTGGCAGCAGTTTGCTGCTTTTGTCAGAGTAAAATAAGTATGGAGACATTCCCTGCTTCGCTCTGATCTGACACCGAAAATTCTGATTCGATCACGGCCGATTTGTGTGCAGAGTTAAGCATCCATGACATAGTTGGTGGACCTCAAGATGTAAACAGACACACATTGCCAGATAAAGAGCAGATGAGCATCGAGATAGAAACAACTGGATGCCTGTAACAATGGGTTGAAATGGAGATAAACAGCAGACAAAATAAAATGTGACCAGTTCAAGCTTAGCATTCCATCCAAGCGCCATCATGAATATTTGACATTTTTGTGCCAGAATGAAGAGAGCAAGCATTTAGCAGGAGGCATTCTTTACTCATTGATTCATTTGTTCATGTCTTGTTTAAACAATATTCTAATAATCAATTAAACTGTAGGATATTTTCCTGGTGAATTAGATTTTTTATTTTATTTTTTTTAAGTTTTGACGTATCAGCTGCTCGTCAGTATGGCATTAATCTTAGTTGTTCTTTGCGGATGATAAGAATAAATGCCTGTGATTATTGTTAAATGGTCTCTTTTAGGGATGCTCTAATCCACAGGTGTCAAAGTCAAGGCCCGGGGGCCAGATCCGGCCCGCCACGTCATTTTATGTGGCCCGTGGGAGCAAATCATGTGTGTCAAATTTCATGATCCTTGCTGAAATCTTTTCCAAAATGTCAAATCGTCATGGGTAATAAAGAACGTTGCCATTTTACATCGGCCCTCCAAGGAAAGCCGTAACTCCAAAGTGGCCCGCGACAAAAAATTAGTTTGACACCCTTGCTCTAATCAATCGATCGCTGATAATTATTGGTGATTATTTATGAAAGTATGTATGAATCTGGCACCAGAAACACATATGACAACATTCACACCCTTAAAACTTCATTAATGAATTTTATGCGCCACGCAATGCACTCTGAACCAAGTGGCTCAATCATGTAACACGCCTGTGCGTTGTTACTGTGTTTTGTTCATCGGCGTAGCAAAAACAAAAGGGGGGGAATCAAGCATGTATGCTCTGTATTAATTGCACAAGTTTTGGTGTTGACAAAAAAAAAATTAAAAGAGAGAGAGAGAGAGAGAGAGAGAGAGAGAGAGAGAGAGAGAGAGAGCGAGAGAGACCTCTGCCTCATGAAGAGCGTTTGAGAGATGAGCAAGCAAGGCTTATTTTCACTTCACATGCAATGGCTTTGCCTTCAATGGGAGTGACCTCCACCGCACGCAGAGGGCTAGCATTAGCATCTTGCTTCGTTGTTTTAGTCTGCTGTTAGGTTTACACACACAATGACAAACTAGCATTTGGCCCAAACTGTAGCTTCACAGCTCCGGATGGATCCAAATTGATTGATAGATTCAAATAGATAGATAGATGGATTATAGATCAGAACTATAGATAAGAGTGATCCTGACTGATAGCTACCTTCAGAGATGGGCTATACAGTAGATAGTCAAATACGTCAAAATAGATTTGTCCAGATATATAGACCAAGACAGAGCTCCAGATCCATCCGGATTTTTGGATCCAGATAGAAGCGGTAGCATTAGCCTTTAGCGGCAGGTTTACGTGATTAGACGCCGGAGCAGTCGGAGCTATTGTGGTAGACACACTGGCACATTGTTGTCTCTCAGAAGGTCATCTCCATGGCTACCAGGGGTGGAGTCATACCAGAATTTCAAGTTCCGAAACTTCAATCGCTCAGTTGTTCAGCTCACTTTGACTCACCAAAAACGCTCTGTCACACACACACACACACACACACACACACACACACACACACACACACACACACACACACACGCGCGCGCGCGCACTTACTCACTTGTTACTGGCCCACTTATCACATGACTTGATGTTTACAGCTCATGGGGGAACGTTCCTAGTTTGTCACATGCTGTAAAAAATTGGTGGAGACCAGGCTTGGGCAAACTTGTGAAGCATACTATGTACATGTCGCTTTAAATTATCTATATTTTATGTACAATTTTAAACAAATATTTGAAATAAATAACCATTTATATAATGATAAATTGGCGGCACGGTGAGTCGTGGGTTCACATCCGTCCCCGGCTTTCCTGTGTGGAGTTTGCATGTTCTTCCCTTGCCTGCACTGGTTTTCTCCGGATACTCCGGTTTCCTCCCACATTCCAAAAACCATGCTTGGTTGGTTAATCGATCACTCTAAATTGTCCGTCGGTGTGATTGTGAGCGTGAATGATTGTTTGTCTATTAATCGATATTATGAAAATAATTAGTAGTTTTTCTTTATTATGCCTGGACTTCTCAGAGGGAAAGAGTTAGCACATCCTTGGCACCAATGCAAAGTGGGCCAGTGGCATGTGGACCAGAACCAGGGCCAGGCCCATTGTCCTGGTTCCGGTCCTGGTCTCTCTGCAAGCCTGCCGATGGAGGAAGCAGTCAGCCTTGTTTTTATGGTGGGCAAGATAGTGCGCGTGTCCTCAGGTCTCTCAGTTTGTACTTCCAACGTGCTTGTTTACGTTCAAATATTTTAACTTTAAATGTCTAGAATTTTGATGACATTGGCTGATTATGTTGAAGTAAATGGAACCCTTGACAACCATATGCAGAATAATTTCCCATTTTTAGTTGAAGGCCCAATTATGAAAATGACTCGGTGCTGACTCAGCCGCCCCCCCCCCCCCTCCCCTCATGGGTTACCATCCCATCCCCCGTAAAAATTGAAATCTGCGAGAAGGGAATATTTTTTTAAACATTCATGGCACTTAATTCTGTCTAAGGTTTTTAAACACACCTAAAATAATACTAATACATTTAAAGGCATTCACTATATTGAAAGCATTGAGTATTGTACAACAATGTTTACAGTAAATAAGTCAAATTTTTTTTTGCTCAACTAACAGAGTGAACTCATCTGTTTTTCAATAAACGGTGGGGAATTTTAAAAAGTTTTTTTCCCCATCTGATTCATCGGCTAATCAAAAATAATCGACAGAACAGTCGATGATTAAAATCATTTACATGCTTCCCAAGTCATTAATCTTTGTAAAGGGAGTTAGTTTCTTTTCATTTTTTTCATGTTTTACTGCAAATTGTGTTATTTTTCTGGACTGAACACTTGGCAGACAAAAAAAAAAAATTCGGCTGACTGAAATGGATTCAGGGCATTTTGATTCGTTTCTATGGCAGAAATTGATTTGATTGGAAGTCCTTCGTGTGTTTCATGGGCGCCATTTTGGTTTGCGTTGCAGTTGCAGGAAACGGTCAAGAGAAAGCTGGAAAGCGCCGGTTCGCCTTTGGGCCGCGAGCAAGTCAACGGCTTTTCGGACGGCTTCCCGCACAGCAAGAAGGCCTGCATGGATGCCACCGCCAAGGCCAATGGCTCCCCCATGGACTCCAAGTTGGGTCTGGGCGACGCACTGGCCTCCAACGGCACCCACGGGCCCGCCATCGAGTTGGCAGCAGATGGCGCCAAGGAGGCGGCGGTGGCCGACTTCCACCGCAAGGAGATGAAGCAGGAGCCCGACGACATTCTGCCCATCATGCCGCCGTCGGCAGGAGGAAACAACAACAACCTCTTCCCGGACCTCAACTTAGACGAGCAGGAGTGGTCAGACCTCATGGAGGAGCTCAACTGTACTGTACCCTACGAGGACATCCAGGACATCCTCAACGATGGCTTCGAGGACCGCAAAGACCCTCTGGAGATGACGCCCAACCAAGGAAGCGGTGGAGTGGCGGGCAGCCAGTCCTCACAGAGTCTCCTTCCTCTGGATTTGGGAAGCGTGAAAGCCGAGTTTTCCCCGTCCGCCTTTGAACAGGACTCGCGCACCGGGTCCCCTCACATTCGCTCGGCGTCTTCTGGGCCTCCCCCTCCTCCTCACCCCACCAGCTCTCCGGCAGCCACTTCGTCCGCCTCCTCTCTGGCCGCGCCTCCGCCCAGGCAGCACCCGGCGCCCCCCAATCACCTCCTCACCAAAGACCTGTCCCCCGCACAACAGCTTCAGCAACTGGCTGCCCAGCAGCAGCGGGCGCAGCAGCTCCACAGCCAGCTGCAGCACAGACAGACGCCGCCCGCCGGGGCCAAGTTCCACAGCCAGGGGGTCCCCCACGCTCACCCCCCGCCCTGGACGCAGATGGCTGCCCCCTCACAGAGCCCGCTGGGGTCGGCGTTTGGCGTGGACAAGCCGGCCACCCCCTCCTTGTACCCGCAGGACTTTAATTCCAGCACGCAGAAGCAGCGCCTTATGTCTGGCCAGCCCCCCAAGGGCTCGCCCAAGGCAGGGGCCAACAGCTACATGCCAGGGGCCGCCGGCCACCCCGGTTTGCTTAGCCACCCGGCTCAGGGGCCCCCTCTCAACCACGCGCCGGCGCCAGGGGGCCAGGCGGCCATGTTGAACTACAACAACACCAAGCCCCTTTCCCACTTTGAGGCCGGGCCCGGTCCACCCAGGCCCGCCAACAGCCAGAACCAGAACAAGGCCGCCTTGCTCAGCTTGCTCAGACAGCAACAGCAGCAGCAGCAGCAGCAGCAAATGAAGCAGAAGAACAACATGAACTTCCGGCAACACCTAACACACTCGCAGGTAACACGCACGCGCACAGACATACGTTTGGAATTTCCAACTTCAGGGATGTCCGTCATGGACTTTCACGGTGCAACAATTCAGTGGTTAATTGACATCTAATCAATAATGAAATTAATTGAGAAATATTTTTGATGATCGATTACTCGTTTAGAGTCCTTGTCGAACTAGATGTTTTCCAAATCTTCTGAATTTCTGCCTCTTAATAGGAAACCTCCGGTTTCTGTCGTCCTCCACAAAAGCAGACTCATTATCATTGTTTTTTCAAAATAAGGCATTTGCAAACATCTTTTAACTTTGAAAAGAATGGTCAACATTTTTTATTTTTTTCTCTGAATGTTTCACACCAAACCAGTAACTGCAGAATCATCAACTGGTTGGTCTATTTTCTTTAATGGCTTGCCTGAAATAAAGGGATGCTTTTTAATATACGGTAATCAGATTTATGAGGAAAAAATTTTATAGATTTACAAAAATAAGAATTTGTTGCAGATAGGGCTGTCACAAACAAATCATTTTAGAATTGATTAATCAATCGATTATTCTGCTGATTACTTAGGTAACCAAGTAAACTGACAATTTTCCCCCCAGCTTTTGTTGAAGCCCTCATTTACTGTTTTAGTTTTATTCTTTCTTTTCTCTCTATCATGGCCAATTGAAACCCTTATAAACCAAATTTCTTAATTCCTTATTTGTTTGATTGAATTGTACAACTTGGCAAAAATGGGATTCATTCTCGACCCAACATTTGAAAATATCACCTTTTGTGTGTGTTTTCTAGCAGATGATGTCATTCATCAATTTTTGGAAAAAGCGGCAATTTTACGACACATTCTTAGGTTTGGCGTTGATTGGCTGACGGAACTCGAATGAATGACCAAATTTAGATTTGGCGCGGTGGAGTTACTCTGCTCATCATGTGGAACAATTGAACAAGTGGAAGAGAGGTACTATCAGTAAAGCAAAAGGGGACTCCTGAGCAAGTATGTCATTTTCTAGCTTGCTTTAAAATGTACAAATTGGGCGAGCAGACTGGAATGTGCAAGTTTAAAAAATGAAAAATAAAATAAGAACTGATCTTATGCAGTAAAGTAAGCAATAAATGTGTGTGTGTTTACCAAAGGTCTGACAATGGCCCAAAATACCCCCCATCCAACACACCCTCAAGGTTAAAAAGAAAAAGACCAACAGATTGCTAACGAGATACAGCTGCTTATTAACATGAGCTCATAGCTAACCTTAGCCCAGCAGTTGATTGGGCAAGAGTTCGTCCTGCAGGTGGTGCTAGACACTGCCTCCAACCAGCTGCTTGAACGAGACTCATTTATCCATCCATCCATCCGTGCAGGAGCCTTTCCCAGCAGTCAACTCGAGTCAAAGTCCATTGGGGGTTTATTTTGCTCTACTTCTTGCAGGCCCCAACTGACACAGACAACACTCAGAATCTGTGCGTGTGTGTGTTTAGAAACATGTCATTAGGTAGGGCTGGGCGATAGGACTGAAAAGTATATCACGATACAAGTATTTCATATTGGCCGATGTATACATCGCTCTCTCTCACTCACTCATATTTTACTTGCCTGATTTTGACTTCAGTGCGATGCCGGGGGTCTGACATGACTCACATGATCGTCATTAAAAAGTACAATATTTGGTTCATAAAAAGTCATTGTGAAAATACATGATAATACATGGATTAGAACCAAATTGCGTAGCTGCGGCCGTACTTCTTTTTTTTTTTTTTGGTCCATATGTGGACGTCACGCTCTGTTTGTGTCTTCTTGTAGCAGGACCAGAACTCGTACCCGGCGCCTCCGCACGGGCCCAGTCCCGCTAGCAACCTGACGTCCGCGCCGGGCGGTAGCGGAATGGCGGCCCCGCCCGGGCCCAACGCCATGGCGAGTAACCACGGCAATACGGCCTACCTCAGCAGCCAGGCGGCGGCACTCAAGCAACAACAGCAACAGCAGATTCTGGACCAGCAAAAGCAGCAGTACCTGCAGAGACAGCAGATGATGGCTGAACAGGTCACTTTCCACTATATCCATCCATTTTCCAATCCGCTTTATCCTCACAAGGGTCGCAGGGCATGCTGGAGCCTATCCCAGCTGTCTTCGGGCAGTAGGTGGGGTACACCCTGAACCAGTTGCCAGCAATGCAGACATATATGAACAACCATTCATACTCGCTCACACACCTAGAGACAATTTTGAGTGTTCAATCAGCCTGCCATGCATGTTTTTGGGAATGTGGGAGTAAACCGGAGTACCCGGAGAAAACCCACGCAGGCACGGGGAGAACATGTAAACTCCACACAGAAAGGCCGGACCCGAACCCACGACCTCGGCACTGTGAGGTCAACGCACTAACCATTTGACCACCAGGCTGCCCCCTTTCCACTACATTCCTTCCAAAAAGGGTCGTGGGCCTGACACTCAGAAACTTTGCATGATTTCATATGGGACCAAGGTTATCAAAAACCAACAAAATAGCTCAAAGTAAAATTGAAAAATAAATAAAACGAAAACAATTAACTGCAACTATATCGCACATTTATAAACCTAACAAAAAAAAACAATTTAAGCCTTGATTGTTAATATGTTATGTAAGATGTCTTAATTACTGACCCGTATGCGACTTCCTCTTTTCTCCGACCACACGCTCGCCGGTGACAAACTCTGTTGTTCGTGTTGCGCCATGCAGGAGAAACAACGTCAGCAGGACCAGCAGCTCCAGAGACACCTGACCAGACCACCCCCTCAGTACCAGGACCAGCCCGGACAGAATGCCAATCAGAACGCTTTTGCCCAGGCCCCTGTCAGCCAGTTTACAGGTCAGAAAATCATCAATATGTGCTCCATCACTAAACAGGCTTTTTTTCAAATCCACTCCAAATGTATTTATTTCTACAGCACACATTTTTCCCTCTTTCTTCCAAAATCTGTTTGATATTTTCACTGCCAGCTCTACCAAATTTGAGAGAGAGAGACAGAGAGAGAGAGACAGAGAGAGAGAGAGAGAGAGAGAGAGAGACGCAGAAAGGTCTGGACAAATATTACAATTTTTTGGGGAATATGCCTAGAAACAACAACGAAATTGTTCACAAAGAGTAATATCAACTTACAGTATGAGCACTACTTTCAGCCTTCCTGGTGTTCTTCACACATCTCCAAAACATATTTGCATATATAGATTTTTCTTGCAGTGGCATGCAAATGAGCCAGTGCACTCATTTGCGTACAACACGGCTGTTTCGTCATTGACGTCAATATCACTTCTCCTTTTTTTTTTTTCTTTTTAAGTCACACTGTTAACTGCACGGACTTGAGAGACGTCACTAAAATATTACACCTCGACGTCAAGTCAATTATGAACATCAGTTATGAGTTGGGCTCATATACACAAATGCAAGTAAATATGTTAAATCACAGGGTCAATGAAAAGTTAAAAAAAAATACAAAATACGTTAAAACAAAAAGCATGGCACGTGATGGGAAATTGGTGGTGATCACGTCGCTTTCAGGGGATAGGAAAAAGATCATATGTTTTTAATTTTCCCACTTTTTAAAGGTTGCAAATCAAAAGCTGTGCTATGCAGTTATTGATGATGTAGTGCGACAAAAACATCAACCGTACGATCTTACCCTTCTGTTATTTTGGTTATTCTCGTTTGTGGGTATTGAGTTAGTGTTGTTGCTATACGAATTTCACATCCCATACGCTTTGCTATGACGTCTTCCTTGTGCCTCATATTCCAGGTGTTTAAGGCAACTGTTAGTCGTGAAACAATTAGATGTTGTTCTTGCGATTATGATAGGAATTTCAAATCGGCCTAATGATATGCAAGGGAAGTTTTCATGCTATTGTTGCGACTAACGCGTGTCATCCTTTGTCCGCCCTCAGCTTCGTCTCAGTCACTGGCCAGCGTGTCTTCCATGGGAGGCCCCGCACCCTCCAGCCAGCGCATGTTTCCTCAGCCTCAAGGCATGATGGGACTCAACATGGCCTCCGGCGCCATGTCGGCGGGCGGCGCGGCTCCACCGCCAACGGTTAGCCAGGTGGACCTTGGGCTGACGTCCTGCGGAGGCGGAGCTGGTGTCGATGTCCAGCAGGTGCTGTACAACAACATGACCCTTCACCCAAGCGGTGGGCATGGCAGTGGCGGGCACGCGCCCCAACAGCGCCAGCCCCTGTACAGGCACACCCTGTTGTCCCAGCAGCACCTCAGCAAACAGTCCAACGCCGCCGCCATGTTGAAGCAGCAGCAGATGGCCACCACCCGCATGCCCGCCAACATGCAGGCCGCCCAGAACGCAGTTTGGCAGCAGCCAACGCCACCCGCTAGCGCCGGCCTTCCTCCCAACGCCTTCACCAACGCCACAAACGCCTTCCACATGCAGCAGCAGCAACCTCGCATCCCCAAGATGGCCGCTACGGCTTTTAACGCCAACCCCACCGGGCGGCCTGTGGCGGGCATGATGCAGAGCGCCCAACAGAGGGCGCCACCCAACCCACAAAACCTGGGCCCGCCCCAGACTCAACAGCAAGCCGCTCAGAACCACCCGACCAATCAGAGCGTCCTCCCCGACCTCGTGGCATTCGGGGCGACGGCCAGTGGCGGGCGGCAAGGCCTGGCATGTAACCAAGGTTACCAGGTCAGCAGGACGGCCAATCAGCAGCAGCTCTCCTTCGGCTACAACGCCACTGCCGGGAGCTTCGCCGCTGAGAGCGACTTGGTGGAGTCGCTGCTCAAGGGGCAGAGCGCGCACGAGTGGATGGCTGACCTTGACGAGCTGCTCGCCTCGCACCAGTAGATGCCGACACACTTTCCGTCGGCACCAACTGGGAGCAACCCGCCCGCATCTTGTCTCGAGTCCCGGTATTAGTTGTCACCATGTCACGCATTTCATGTGACATCACATGTTCTCAAATGTTCCACGAAGCGTCAGATGGCATGTGCTTGGGGCAACGTGTGCCCCCACGTAGTGTCATGTGACACATATCGCGTGATGTTATCATGTGTCATGTGACACTTGACATGCATCATGTGACGTCTGTATCATGTGATGCATCATGTGACACCACCTGGGGCATATGTTGTGCAACACGTCACACATGACATTAACCCGACATGTAACATCAGACATGTGATGCCACATGACACCATTTGTTCACATGTTACGTGATGTCAAATGTTACATTACGTGTTACAATGAGTTCTTGAGTTGAGTTTGACGTTGACTTCCCGGATGCACTCACACAGGTTGGTGGATGCACGGACTGCTCGGACTGGAATGCGTTGCCATTGGCCGGCGGGCGGAGTTTATGCGCCACCTTGTTCATGTTTAAATGTTTCTAAATCTATTTTTTGTATGTAATGTTGCGATCTGGACATAGATGTTATTTTTATATATGGCAGACCATTTTTGTAAGTATTTTCTACTTTTGATATGTTCGTGTTAAACAAGAGAATTATGTCTTGTAAATATACTACTCCAAAAACACTTCCTGTGTGTGTGTAATGTGTAAGGATGAATTACATTATTTGCATGCGTTGCCAATAATTTGACCTTAGTGCTGGGGGCCCCGCCCACTTGAGGCCACAGTGTTGGAACCGGTCGCCGAGGCCGCACACTGGACAAGACGCCATGGATGAGCAGCAGCATCATCAGCTTGTTGGCCTGGCCGCCGTTACGGTTGCTGCCGTTCTGGAGCAAGGTGAGGCAGGCAACCATTTTGGGGTGGTGGTGGTGCTGTCATTCCAATTTGGACATGTTTTGTAATTGTCATTTTTGTAACTTTTGAAAATTTGTGGTTTTCGTTTGAATGGGAGTTTGGCCATTGTTATATATGTTGGTGTGTAAAATTTTGTTAGTATTATGTTTGATGGTTATTCATGACTAATTATATTTCGGTGTGCAACTTATGTCGGTGTAATTGTTTAATTTGTGTCTGAGTCAACATTGTGTATATGTGTGCGCAGCGTACTTCTCCTTGCAGGTGATAAGCGCCCGGAGGAAGTTTCGCGTGTCGCCCCCGTGTACGAGTGGACCCCCCCAATTTGAGAGAGTCTTCAGGGCCCAGTAAGTGCATGACGTCACATGATGAAACCACCTTTGCCCTCTCCTCAATTCTGATGAACTCGCAGAGTGAATTGCTCAGAATATTTCCCCCTCTTCATCGCCATCTTGTGGACGTCCGGAGTCTTCTTCAGCCAAGGTGACGTCACGGCTGCACTCAAAGGGGCGTGTAGTTTGCGGTGACCTACGTGATAAATCGCGTGTGCTTGTGCGTCTCCCCCAGGTGCGTCTTGCGTGTGCGGCGCGGCCTACGTGATGGCGCGTCTGTGTTACTTTCAAGGTTACGCAGAGTCGCCGCAGCAACGGTCAGTTGGCATACCTCACGTCCCGTGACATCATTTATGAAACGCTATTAGTTGCGCCTTGAGATACAGTACGTGTGACCTGACCTTTTCGAGCCACTCCCCCCCTTTGACTTTTAGATATGAGCACCTCGCGGTGGTAGTGAGCTCACCTCACGTGACAATCAGGGTAATTCGTAACCCCCACCACCCTTGAAGGGCTTTAAGTTGTTTTTGTTCACTGCCATCTTACATTTATTCTGAAATTAAACAAAACAAACCAAGTGACAGTTTGTGTAATACAACCCCCCCCACACACACACACACACACACACACACACACACACACACACACTTAGCCTCCACTAGCAGAATGCTACCAGAGGAAATCTCTATGAATACACGGGCTAATAATATGCCCCTTTAACACCAACAGTGCAAGCAACACATACAGACAGACTATAATGGCACTACAGTACCAGTAATATATTTATCCTCTGTAAAGAGTCCCAAATAAGGGTTGAAGGGTTGAGAGAATCTGAGATGTCTCCATGTATTTTTGTCTGATCAACTGCCCACATTTGGCCAAGACACTGTGGGCAAAACTATGACAAACTTCAATTTTTGGGGGTAATTCTATTTTATAAACACTGTATGTTTTTACTGTTGTCATTACAAATAACATGACTTTTTTTCCTGGAACACCTGAAACTCATGTTTATTTATCTCAAAGAAGTGAGAAGATGTTTTGAGTTACGAGTGTGGTCACGGAAAAAATTCAAGTCGTACTGTATGTCAGGGCGCCCCCGCACCTTGTATGACTTTACAGTAATGACGTCATGACGTTGTTTGCCATTTGTCAGCTTGCGTGCGCTCTACGTGAGCGCGGGCTTCCTCTGGCTGCTCATTGGCTTCTCCTGCGTCGGTATTTTGCTGTCCTTCTGGCGACTTGCCGGCCGACTCCAACTTCTCAACTACGTCGCCTGAGCTGTCGGCCATCGCCCCAACTTTAGCGACTAATAAAAATGCAATCTGTCCAAGTTTCAGAGACTTTGTTTTTAATTGCATAGAGTACGGTGGCCGACAGAGGAAATGCGCTGCAAACGGCCGAACGCTGCTAACACAGGAATGCTGCAAATCAAAAATTTGATACAAACACACAAGTAAGCTAAAACCCACAAAACAAAATTCCTGCAGGTAAGACATGCTGCAAACGCTACAAACATAGGAAAGGAATGCTGCAATCACAGCAACAAAGTGGAAGCAAACGTTACAAACTACAAACCAAATGCAAAAATAAGCCGTTGCGGAATTACAAAACACAACTGAAAAACCACCGCAAGAAAACAATGGCGCAGGTTCACGCCACTCAACCCAAGTTTGCCAGGCCACTCGGGGACATCGCAGGCACAGTCCTGTGAGACCAGATGGTGTAAGACCTGATCGGGACATTATCTATTACCGTATTAATAATACGGCAGCATCGAACCGTGTTTGTTTTTAAAAGCTTGTACAATACCTAATTGAAGCAAAACATACAGGAAGTAGAATTAGACAAAAGACGGTGGTGTCCTCATTGTTTTGGTGCAAATAATTACACAGTTTGGCGCCGTGATGAAATGTATGCAGTGTGGGTGGAGCCACCTTGAAACGAGGGCGTTCCTTGACAAATCTTGGCGTGTGCACTTTCCTCCAGAGAAATTGACTCCCCCCTCTCCCTCCCGATTATATGAAAGTATTTGATAAAGTCAACGACATCAGTCCTGACGCCAAACAAACTTTCTTTTGTGAGCGTGAATAAACAACTTTTTTTCTTTCTTAAGAAGCATTTTGATGCACTTGTGACCTTTGATGACAGGCGACCGCTGCGCTGCATTCCAATTATATCAAATCAAGAAGAAGCCCAACAAAGACGACTTGGGTTTTTTTGTTTATTTGTTTGTTTGTTCTCTTAGTGTTCACCACATGTGCACTTTTAGTTGTGATCAATATTGACGAGCTGTCTCTCCCGCGTGTGCCAACTCCCGTGTGGAATTTATTACACGTGTCTATTTGGAGCAGCAGTTGTTGTTCTGGGAAACGCGACTAAGTTTCCGTCCAGGCATAACAGCTGCTTGCTTGCTTGCTTGCTTGCTTTCGCGGCCAACCGCTGACGTCCAGTTAATCACAATCACATTTTTATTTGGAGAGGTGCGTCTTCAAGATATGTAGTAACGGATGGCATCCACTGGAGGCGCTCTTCACATTTGAGTCATCTTGTTTTTTTGACTGATTGTTTTATTTACTCTCTCGGTTTTCTCTAGGCCAGCCAATGCCGAGTCAAAGGAGGCAAAATAAAAACAAATAAAAATTAGACATCAACATCAAACCCCCGAGCCTCCAGAGTTCCTTTCATGCTTCTTTTTACAAACATCACTCAAGCTGTCTTTTTAGTTAATGTCACTGGAGGGAGCCACGAGATTTTGTTCCAGTACACCAGAGGGTTCTATTATCTGAAGTACTATGGATATGGCAGGCGTTTTGCATTCACACATTAGCAGACGGCAAAATTGATTGCCATGGCTTTTGAGCTATGTATGAATTTGCAAAAGTGTAATAAGACAATTTGGTAATTGGTTTGATGAGTACTTTGGATTTTCAACTGTGTTAAATTTGAAGGGCAACACATCTACATCGTGCAATTTAGAGGACGTTTATGAATCTGTCTATATATTTATGAAGCTGTCTACATATTTAACGTAATTCTCTTTTGTCTTTTGCATAATGCAACAACAATGTATTTCAGTGGTCCACCGTCATTTGAAAAAGTCAAATAGGATTACTTTAGTACAAATGCCTTACATTTCTAAATCAATAACATTTTGGATAACGACCTCAATAATTGTTGAGCTCTTTTAAATTGTGGAAAGGTGAACTTCAGTCCACTTTCGTGTCTATTTGCTAAATTTACATGAATAATAGTGTTGCTTCCGATTGACTGAACACAAGCCAGTCAATTTACATTCATAAAAGTGTTGCTTCCAATTGAATAAACACAAGCCAGTCGTAGTTGTTTGGGTTATGTTTTGCGGTTAATACGGTAATTTTGAAGCGCAGACAAGAAACTCCCTTCTGCGCATGTCCCGGCCTCGGCCGCTGATGCCTTCACTGACACTATAAAATTTTTAACTATCCCTTCTTTGAGATACGCTATGATCTGCTTTTAACTGAATCACAATACAGTATATAAAATCGAGTCAGTCTTCAGATTTTGTATTTTCAAAGTTAAACTCGAACACATTCACGTTGGGCTTCTCGAAGTCTCTATCTTGAAAACACCAACAAAGTCTAGAGAACGCATAAAAGGAACACAGGTAAGCAGGTTTTGTCTTTATAGAATGCGATGTTTGCATTGTTGTGTTTTCTTTAACAGTGTTTCCAATGCGGAGCCTCAACGCGCCGCGGGGAAGCCGAAGTTATCCCCCCGCGTCTTGGTCTTTGAACGCGTCACACGTCAAGCCGGGCGGCGGGGCGTTCAGTAACTTTGCTGAAGCTCGGCCAAATTTTTCGGCTTTTTCACGGCGGAGGACGACGGAACAACGAGTCCCGAAAAGACGCCGTCGAGGCCGAGCGACGAGAGGGGCGACACGAGGCGAGGCGGCTTCAGCAGGCATGGGCTGCAGCCACAGCAAGGTGAGCCCCGCTGACGACCGGGGATCGAGGCCCCCGGGCGGCGTGCTCCGCAGCCGCCCAAACTTCCATCAAAGCCAAAAGTCGAAACTTTTCACGGTAACTTGCACGAGGCGACGAGAAAGTTCGGCAAAGTACGACACGGTTGAGAGCACAAACGTGGCCCAAGTTGTACTTTGTTGAGCGCACATCTGTTTTCAATCTGGTCGACATTCTCCGTGCAAACTCATGAACTAACACAATGATGTCATAACGCGTAAGGCTTTGATTTAAACGGCTCCCGTACATCTTTACGCTCATTTGGAACGAAAGGAGGTTCTTGATGATATGCAACAAAACTGAGTCATTTGAGATTTAAAAAAGATTAGATCGTTTTTGCTGTAAATAAATGAAGCAAGATCCTCCAGCCAACATGTCTAAGCAAACATTTTTTGATTGAGCTTGGTTTAAAATGACGCCATTGTCACGCGTCCAATCAGTGACTTTCAAAACTAAAACATGAAAGGGCTCACATAGTCGACAAGCGACTTTTTAATGGTGTGTATGTTGTCAAAGGACAAAGTCAGCCAAATGTTGTGACTGTAATTCATATCTTTGTTACTGTAAGTGTTAAGGGACCCAAAAGTATATATTGTACTGTATATATTTTATAGTGATGTACGGTATGAGAAATTTCAACCGATAATTACTAATATATATGTAGCCAGGTCTTTGGAAAGACTGGACTGAACACAAAATAATTTTTATGTGGGCTTTATTCCCGACTGAACAATAAAAATTTGTACAGCATTAAGATGAAAGACTGAGATGTGAACTGAATTTTAAGAGTTCGAAAAAGGATCGAAGAGATCAAGGAAAATTATTAACAGATTAAAGACAATTACAATTAAAAGTGCAGACCGACAAATCATTACAGTCCAATGTGTTGAGAGGACACACTTACTCGACACTTTACGGCGTGTTGGGTGCGTACAAAACACGTGGAAAAACACAAATGATCTCCCCTCTAAAGAACAGATAACACAGTTCATATCATTTCACAGTCAATAAAAACATTTACATCTTGTAACGTTGTGAACACTTTCGCTGTACAGCTGTTCACACGACTCACAAGTGGCAGATTTCAAACTCCAAACCACGATATTTTGCTCTACAAATACCATTCAAATAATTAATCACCCGTCCAAATTTAACACCCAACATGCTTCATGGTAAAATAGTTACCAGTTACCTGAATATCGCCAGGGTTACAACAATGATCATGGGTGTATCAAGCTGGGACGAGCGGCATACACATCTTCCTTCACATGCATGTCATCCTCCCCTCTGCTGTATGTTCCTGCATGTTTTTATCAAGCGTGTTCTGAAAGTGACAGTGCTACATTTGTTAATGAACAAGGCAGCCTTCACTACAAAAGTCTAAGTATGGTTCACCTGGTTACATTTCTATATATATATTCATTCATTTTCCGAACCGCTTTATCCTCACTAGGGTCGTGGTGGGGGGGTTTGCTGGAGCCTAGCCCAGCTGTCTTCAGGCAGTAGGCGGGGGACACCCTGAACCGGTTGCCAGCCAATTGCAGGGCACACAGAAACGGATAACCATCCGCGCTCACACTCACTCCTAGGGACAATTTTGAGTGTTCAATCAGCCTGCCATGCATGTTTTATGGAACGTGGGAGGAAACCGGAGTACCCGGAGAAAACCCACACAGGCGCGGGGAGAACATGCTGTTGCATCTTAAAAGCGCATAAAGTTTGAATCCACACCAGTGTAGTAATCAGCAAGGAAGGTAAACGTACTGTTAAAAAAAAAGGCATGCCTTGGCTGCGACTCTCATTCAATCGAATGGGACTGCAGATGTGAAAATGTTCACCCAAGTTTCGGTATTTTATAAAATTTTGTATTTCGAATTCAGGAGACTTCGGCTCGTTCTATGTTAGTTTATTGTAATCCGGTTTTCAATATCACCCTCAATATCGTCCTAATTTTGGGTTATCAGACCGATAAAAGTGACATATTTTTTTCCAATATCGGGCCGATCAATATCTCCCCGATAAATATCATGCACTAATAATATTTTATTGTACTTAATATTTTATTGGTTATCAGATTTTATTTTTTCTGACGATTATCAGCATTGGCCTAAGAACCATATTGATTGAACCTTGTTCAAGACACCTGGAAACTTATGGAAATGACCCCCTCCTTCCAAAGTCTCCTTAATACATTAGACGTGAATATGCCAACAGGTGCCCTGCAGACCACATCGCAAAACCGTTGATGACTTCCTGTCATAAGCGTTGACTACCGACGTGTCTGTTTCCTGTTTCTTACTCTGTGCGGCGCGAGGGCTTCTTACGTAATTGTCAGAGCTGCGTACGTAAACCTTTCGCCTAGAATAGAAAGTGGCGTGTGGTCAGCACTAAAATGTTTTTATCTCTTTAATTGGTTTAGTTGCGTTAATTGGTTTAGCAGCGCAGACGTGCTAAGGCTGTGTAATGTGACCGGATCGACATGCTAGCATAACAACTAGCAATTAGCATGGTCCCATGATGCTTGTGTGACCTTAAAATAAAATGTCTCATTCCACATCCGCCCCCTCCCCCCACCGCCCCCCAGAAATCTGATGTCCGTGTTTTTCCACTGAGCTTATAGACCCAAAAAAAAAAACAAATTTGACACTTTAAACAATATTAATAATACTCTCAACTCAAATTGCAAACTCATGAACTAACACAATGATGTCATAACGCGTAAGGCTTTGATTTAAACGGCTCCCGTACATCTTTACGCTCATTTGGAACGAAAGGAGGTTCTTGATGATCTGCAACAAAACTGAGTCATTTGAGATTTAAAAAAGATTAGATCGTTTTTGCTGTAAATAAATGAAGCAAGATCCTCCAGCCAACATGTCTAAGCAAACATTTTTTGATTGAGCTTGGTTTAAAATGACGCCATTGTCACGCGTCCAATCAGTGACTTTCAAAACTAAAACATGAAAGGGCTCACATAGTCGACAAGCGACTTTTTAATGGTGTGTATGTTGTCAAAGGACAAAGTCAGCCAAATGTTGTGACTGTAATTCATATCTTTGTTACTGTAAGTGTTAAGGGACCCAAAAGTATATATTGTACTGTATATATTTTATAGTGATGTACGGTATGAGAAATTTCAACCGATAATTACTAATATATATGTAGCCAGGTCTTTGGAAAGACTGGACTGAACACAAAATAATTTTTATGTGGGCTTTATTCCCGACTGAACAATAAAAATTTGTACAGCATTAAGATGAAAGACTGAGATGTGAACTGAATTTTAAGAGTTCGAAAAAGGATCGAAGAGATCAAGGAAAATTATTAACAGATTAAAGACAATTACAATTAAAAGTGCAGACCGACAAATCATTACAGTCCAATGTGTTGAGAGGACACACTTACTCGACACTTTACGGCGTGTTGGGTGCGTACAAAACACGTGGAAAAACACAAATGATCTCCCCTCTAAAGAACAGATAACACAGTTCATATCATTTCACAGTCAATAAAAACATTTACATCTTGTAACGTTGTGAACACTTTCGCTGTACAGCTGTTCACACGACTCACAAGTGGCAGATTTCAAACTCCAAACCACGATATTTTGCTCTACAAATACCATTCAAATAATTAATCACCCGTCCAAATTTAACACCCAACATGCTTCATGGTAAAATAGTTACCAGTTACCTGAATATCGCCAGGGTTACAACAATGATCATGGGTGTATCAAGCTGGGACGAGCGGCATACACATCTTCCTTCACATGCATGTCATCCTCCCCTCTGCTGTATGTTCCTGCATGTTTTTATCAAGCGTGTTCTGAAAGTGACAGTGCTACATTTGTTAATGAACAAGGCAGCCTTCACTACAAAAGTCTAAGTATGGTTCACCTGGTTACATTTCTATATATATATTCATTCATTTTCCGAACCGCTTTATCCTCACTAGGGTCGTGGTGGGGGGGTTTGCTGGAGCCTAGCCCAGCTGTCTTCAGGCAGTAGGCGGGGGACACCCTGAACCGGTTGCCAGCCAATTGCAGGGCACACAGAAACGGATAACCATCCGCGCTCACACTCACTCCTAGGGACAATTTTGAGTGTTCAATCAGCCTGCCATGCATGTTTTATGGAACGTGGGAGGAAACCGGAGTACCCGGAGAAAACCCACACAGGCGCGGGGAGAACATGCTGTTGCATCTTAAAAGCGCATAAAGTTTGAATCCACACCAGTGTAGTAATCAGCAAGGAAGGTAAACGTACTGTTAAAAAAAAAGGCATGCCTTGGCTGCGACTCTCATTCAATCGAATGGGACTGCAGATGTGAAAATGTTCACCCAAGTTTCGGTATTTTATAAAATTTTGTATTTCGAATTCAGGAGACTTCGGCTCGTTCTATGTTAGTTTATTGTAATCCGGTTTTCAATATCACCCTCAATATCGTCCTAATTTTGGGTTATCAGACCGATAAAAGTGACATATTTTTTTCCAATATCGGGCCGATCAATATCTCCCCGATAAATATCATGCACTAATAATATTTTATTGTACTTAATATTTTATTGGTTATCAGATTTTATTTTTTCTGACGATTATCAGCATTGGCCTAAGAACCATATTGATTGAACCTTGTTCAAGACACCTGGAAACTTATGGAAATGACCCCCTCCTTCCAAAGTCTCCTTAATACATTAGACGTGAATATGCCAACAGGTGCCCTGCAGACCACATCGCAAAACCGTTGATGACTTCCTGTCATAAGCGTTGACTACCGACGTGTCTGTTTCCTGTTTCTTACTCTGTGCGGCGCGAGGGCTTCTTACGTAATTGTCAGAGCTGCGTACGTAAACCTTTCGCCTAGAATAGAAAGTGGCGTGTGGTCAGCACTAAAATGTTTTTATCTCTTTAATTGGTTTAGTTGCGTTAATTGGTTTAGCAGCGCAGACGTGCTAAGGCTGTGTAATGTGACCGGATCGACATGCTAGCATAACAACTAGCAATTAGCATGGTCCCATGATGCTTGTGTGACCTTAAAATAAAATGTCTCATTCCACATCCGCCCCCTCCCCCCACCGCCCCCCAGAAATCTGATGTCCGTGTTTTTCCACTGAGCTTATAGACCCAAAAAAAAAAAACAAATTTGACACTTTAAACAATATTAATAATACTCTCAACTCAAATGTATTTACAGAACACTTTAATACAGCCACCACTGTATACAAAGTGCTGTACATGGAGCAAAAATAATTCATACAACAATAAAACAATAAATTAACAAGAAAGACAGTAGAAAGTACAAAACTAGTAAAACTAAAAACTCCAAAGAGGAAGTCTTAACAAAAAAAAAACCAAATTTGACACTTTAAACAATATTAATAATACTCTCAACTCAAATGTATTTACAGAACACTTTAATACAGCCACCACTGTATACAAAGTGCTGTACATGGAGCAAAAATAATTCATACAACAATAAAACAATAAATTAACAAGAAAGACAGTAGAAAGTACAAAACTAGTAAAACTAAAAACTCCAAAGAGGAAGTCTTAACTCCAAAGAATAAAAATTAGTTTTAAGACGAATTTTAAAGATGGGGGCGGGGGGTGCTGAACGTTCATGGGAGGTAAATGATTTCAAAGAGAAAAACAAAGGTCATTTGCTACTTATCAAATGGAACTGGAACAGGCACCTGATTTCATTCAGCGCTCCGACATTTTCATCAGACTTCCTGACCAAAGCGCCAACTGATGACAAGCGTCTTTTGCTCGATAATTTGGTGACTGTGCTAACATGTTGCCCGGTGTCTTCGTTCTTGTTGTTTCAGAAGAAAACTAAGAAAGATGACAAAGACAGCAGCCGACAAGATGGAGGTCAGTTTATTTATTTTTTGTGGTGTTAGGTGTCGCTCACGGGCCAAGTAGCTGTCAGTTTACATGCGCATGTGTGGGTGTGCGTGGGTGGGGGGGGGGGG